TCTCAGAAAACAGCGTCTAATGCTTCAAATCATGACTCATTTCATTTTTCAGTGTTCAATTTTTCCTTTCAGTCTATATCACAACTTTCACGATCCCCAGAAATACAAGAACAACTTCCATTTGACAATATAGCTTCTCAATCAAGTGAAAAATACAAACAGACTCACGCAACACATACCACCCAAGGTGTTCAGCAATGCCAACACACAAGGAATGATATAAGAACATCAACAACATCGACAACTAGTGAAGACTTGGGTGCCTCGACATCTCTACCAACTGGTGAGTGCAAATTGTTTGTAGGATTGATACAAGAAAATATGGAAAATTTAGGACTACCCTTTTGTGTTTCACTTAAGTTCTCCTATAACTAATGATTCATCACTATTCACCTTTATAGAGACAAGGCAAATTTTCGTTCTAAAAACGCCCGAAAGTGAAGTCTATCGGTCTGAAATCTTCACCACTCTTGAATGCTTCGTCACAACCATCTAATATACATAAACATGACAGAGTATCTAGTTGAATAGACCATTGCATCATTAAGACAAAAAGAAGATATGAAAATAAGAAGGTAATGGGATCTAAGAAACAGAAAAGAATATACAGAAGAAAACAGAACAGATCGCATTTTCAAGATGAGAAAGAAATAGAATAAAACTTTGCTCTAATCACTGCAACTCTATTGTAGAGAACTTAATAAATATAGACGACAATACTCATCAATCAAAGTAGACCATCTGATTTGTGATTCGTTGATTTCGATTTGATTTGACATTTACTTTCAAATAATCCAATCAGTTCTTTAGTTCTTAGTGAACCATCTAGAATGGAACATAAGTTTCATGCAAATTTCAGTCAGATTGGCTTTTCTTGACAAAAATCTGTTTCTTAACAGGTTTGCTGAAGATATATATCTAGGTTTTTTATTCCAATTTCATCATTTTTAAATGCAAATTGTTAGAATTCAGCGCATAACGTACCGGCCATGGGATCTATTCATCATTCAGTGTAGTAAAAGCTTTTCTTTTCATTGTTCTTAATACGAAATATTAGATGCCGATTCTTTCGTTTATAACATCTAATATCTACTGTGCCTACCATATTACTAATAGTATTTATTGATGATTAGTCTTTCTTGTTGATGTTCGTGATATTTCGCTGAACTCATCGTACCTAAGATTCAAATTCTTCACTTTGGCGTAGCAATCGAGGTAACTGCAGTGGGTCGAAGAATCATTCACCAGTATCGTGAATTTGTTTCTCTACACATTTGAGCCAGCACAGAATCAGATAAATGCATGGTAATTTCTTCACTAGATAGGATCAAGTTGAAACTGTTTCGTAAAAATTTTCGCCTCGAAACTGTTTGTTTCGAATTTCGGAAGCAATTTACTAACATCATCTGGTTTTTTAAACGCAAAACTTTATTGACTCTTTTTTATCGTATCTCACGATGTTTATATTATCGTACAATCTTTTTACTATGAAGGGCATGATTTGAGAGAAGGCATAATGGAGTACACGGTGGAGTCCTTTATCATCGAGAATGTATAATGGAAAGCTTTCGAGAAATGAGGCTTTCCAAAACATATTGCACGTATTTGTTGGATTTTTGATGAACTGTTCGTGCTAAATGATAGTTTCTCAGTAAAGTGATATTTTCAGATTGTTGTCTAGAATTTTGAAGAAATAATCTCCAAATTTTAGCAATCTCATATTAGAAGTTTTTTCATGTTTGGCTACTTCATCTTCGATGTATAAATTTTTAAAAGTAAAATATTTTTTTCTCATATAAACTGGTATGATTGAAGTGTTGAGTTGTTCAATGTTTCAGATAGAAATTCGAAAGTGTGGTTTCGCTTGAAAACCAGATTTCCACAAATGAAACTTACTGAAAATTCTATGCCTAAAATAGGAAGATTTATTAGTTCGAATGTGCATGGACTTTTTCATCATCCATGAAAATGTATATGCAAAAAAAGATCGAGTTAAAGGGCGTGAAACAGTTGGGTAACTTTCCTCGTGAGTTACAACTAATATCATTCAATACGGCTTTTCAAAACAACTTTTAATCACTGTTTGGTTGTCTTTGAATGTACCTCTTGTTTTCCCCGAAACACAATATGCTGCAAAAAATCAGCAATGATTTAGCTTGAATATCAGTTTAGAAAACATAAGTAAATCATGCCCAAAACTTTACTGAATGGAATGACATTGCTAATCTCGTTGAAAATTTTGGTACAACACAGCAAATAGTTTTCGTTCTTGACGATGTCTCACAAATTTTCCAAAATCTACGCTATTACATAAATATGTTTTCTACCAGTTTTTGATTGAAATACTCTGAATGGCTTGCGGTTTCTTCATCGATCTGTTAGTATCATTTGACTTGCTTCAAAGCATTCTTTTCAAACAAGAAAACTACAATAAACTTTAAGACATTTCAATATCTAAGTTTAGAACTTTCAGAAAACTATTGTGAAGAACTGAGTTCAACTTGTAGAAATCTAATAATCTGTAAAAATGTCACCTTTGGTAATGAGAACTGGAGCACATATGAAAATGTTTGTTTTTTTTCAAAATGTTGTACTTTAAAATGTTAAAGCCCATAGTTCATACACAAAGGTTCATAGTAGTATATCTATCTCTAGAAGATGTGTTAGAATGTCAAAGTTTTATAAGCTTTCATTGAAATCAACATATCCATAATCAATGATGTTAAAATATAGTCAAACATATACCCTGTCTCCCCAAATTTTTACTCTATGAGCCAAAAGAAAAACGTTCTTAGTGGTAACCTCTACAATGTTAATCTATTGTCTTTTACTAGCTTGCTCTTCTGTTCCGCTGCCATCTTCATCAACTTCTGGAACTTTGCTCTTCACCAATCAATTATCTATTGAGTATTTACTTGAACACTTCGACAAACGATACACACATGCAGACACAATGGAACACTTATCAAGTGAAATAGCAGTCATGAGACGAAAAATGAACGAATTAATACAAGAGAATATCTATCTCAAGCAGTGTTTGGGTGATATTCACCAAAAATAATAAAAGTGAAAATAGAGATCGCAGTCTGATTTATCTCCATCTCTCTCAAGAAGAGCTATGGTACGGACAAACTATTAGAAAAAAAAGAACAAACCTACATGGACTACATCTTACTTCGATAACAATGGACGGAATTTCTATAAATAGCCATTAGAGTTACCAATCATACATTACTTTTCCTACTTGAGTACTATAGTTTTATGTTTGCTTTGCCTTATTTAGTAGTGGACAAAAGTCTCTCCTACCAACATAACTTTCTATGATTCCCTTATATGTTGAAATTATTTTATTGTGCAGGAGTTTATCCAACACTCTGATTATTGATGTAATATAAAATCCTCAACCTTTTAATCACTTCACAAATTTGATTACTCATACTACACAAAGAGTGTAGTGGATGTGGATGTAACTCTATGCACTGTTCTGAATATAAGAAAAGTGCCCACATCTAAATCCCGATATTATTTTATCACAAATTTTCTCAATAGAAAAGGCTAACATATAAAGCATATATAATATGTACTTGAAGCTACTCTATGTTTGAATTCAAGGTGTTTACATCTTGTGGTTACAGAGATGCAACTAACAAAACATTCATAAGAATCCGTTGAATTATTTTGAGTATCGTTACACCATTTAATTGTGAATGTTGGATAAAAGTCAGAAGTTTAAAATTGATTTAGAAATCCATATTCTTTCAATACAATAAGATAAAAATGCACTTCTCTGATTCTATACCTACTTTTTATCATGATCTATTATTTGTTTCAATGATTTCGATAACGTTTCTATCGAATACTTGCCTTTTGTTACAGTAAACAGTTTTGGGTGTGGGGTGGGTGCGGGATCGCGTGTGGGTGTTGGGTGTGGGTGGGGTGTGGATGTGGGTGGGGTGTGGATGTGGGTGGGGTGTGTGGGATCGCGTGTGCATGTTGGGTGTGAACGTGGGTATGAGTCTTTTTTATGGAATGCACAAACACACCCACGCCCACACCCACACCCACACCTACACCCACACCCTTCTAATTCCTCTTATCTTTATATTCATGATAAATAAACAATATAAATTAATCTTTATATTCTTTAATTATGGTCATTTTGATATTAGATAATTATCTAAGTTCTCTTATTATCATTCATTTTTTGTCTTTAATTGTAAAAAGATAATTAATAAATTTATTATATTAGATTGAGTAACAATGTCAATTGATTAGAAATTTAATTTATTATTAAAAGAATTAGCTAGATAATGTGTTGACAATAAAAATTCCTAATTCATTCTTATTTGTACCAAATAAGATGAGAAAAAAAATTGTTTGATTTGTTTTTTAAAGATTTTAGAAATAAAATGAAGCAAATGAAATGCAACGAATGATAGTTCGAAAAAGCTGTTAGACATAATAAACATTTCTCTATATTATTACTTGCTATGCTATGACGAATATTATTTTTTAAATTAAAATAAAGCGTTTTTCGATTTTTTTTTCACTCAAATCCTATCTAAATGGTGTTATAAGTTCATTGAATACTAATAGAGTTTTCATATCTTATAGTTTTCAACATCTTATCCATTAAAAAAATGATAATCGAAAATGAAATGATGAAATATGATGATAAAAAAAACCATTGATGCTTTAATTATTATTCAAAATGTTTTTGTAGGTTTTTTTAAATTGTTATCAGATGCGTGATGTTAAAAGGACAAGTATGATATGAGTAAAACGGTTCGTTCATGACAATGAGGAAAATGTTATCGTCACCTTTTAAGAATAAACACGCTATTGCGAAAAAATGATCGAAAGAAAAGAAAACACAAACTTTATGTAAGTTGACCTATGAAGGTGACGAATAGCAATAAATAGATTATCTTATTGCGATGACTATTGGCCGAAAGAACAATAATGCTTTGTACTATTGTTTATGAAGCAACTATGCAAGAATGATGCACATTTTTTTCAGTATGACATTAAGACAAACTATGGCAACAACATTAGAGCATATTCCTATGGAATTATTCTACGAAATATTTATTTATTTTCAATATCATGAAGTATTCAACATTTTTTCTTCTCTTAATTCACGATTTGCTGCTATTATTAATAACATGTCAATTATGCCAGTTTATTTGGGTTTGAATAGAATGAATATAGCAGTGACCGAATTTTATTATGCATATTTATCACGATCAAACATTTCCTGTCGTCTTATTTCATTATGTGTCTCAGATACGTTAGCTATTGATAATGGCTTATGGTTAGCTGAACATATATCGACATTTACCAATCTTCGTCATTTATCTTTAATTGACATAAAACGTTCTTCTTTCGAATTGATTCTCAATTCATTGTCACCCATTAAATCTCTCATCATGTTTAGTGTACGCTTTTCTACTATTCATTGTGCTGCTGAAACGTTTTTAGGCGTGCCTGAAAGTGCATATTATGAACAAATTTTTCATTTATTTCCATCATTACACGTATGTCATCTGCTTTTTCGGCCATATATAGATTCTACTCTAGACAGTCAATTCGTTCTACCACTTGGTAAAGTACATATGTTTATTGAAACCAAACTTTTAAATTTACAATCACTTGCAATTGGTTGTTCACCTGAATTTCTATCATATTTATTTAAATATCTTCCACAATTGGAACAACTCAAGTATACACATACTGATTGTTGGCTACCTCCAGAACATCCATTAAGACATGATAAAAATAAGTAAGATTCTTTGATTGGAATGCATATTTTAATTTATAAACTCCACGGAAAATATATGATAGAAAAGAAAGTATTTGATCAATTAATGAAAAGACATTGTATTTAAAATGTAATTATGTATCAAATATTAAGATATGGTTTTGAATAATTCTTGTTAACCTATAGAATGGCATATCAATAATAGCAAGGAGATATTAAATTGTTGATAAATTACAATTAAATTACGCATTAGGTTTTTAAATGCATATAATATGTGTATAAGAAAAATGATTGAAATTGATTAACTTAGTTTTTATATGAGAATATGGATGAACGTATCTAGAAAGGAATCAAAAAATTTTTATTTTTTTCCCTGAGATCAATACAAAAATTATTATTTTTGTCGTCCGTAGTTTGTTATCGTTCTGTTTTCAGAAGTGATAATGTTAAATTTCTCATCAGTACTTGAATTTAGTAGTGTAACATTTTCGATTTATTCTTGCATACAAAATGGTTCTCTTCATTTTTCTCATGTACATTCGTTGATGATTATTTGAGACTTGACATTTAAATATATTAGATCCAATGAAATTAATGATGGAAGCTCAAACGAGTACTTCTAGATTAAAATCGAGCAACTCTATATACAGATAATGCTAAAAGACATTGTAAAATATATTCTAATGTCGAATTGATTTTTTTCGAAGAATAATTTTATGAAAAACAAACATGAAAGTTTTAAAAGAGTGTAAAGAATTGCATTGAGAGTAGAAATTATTTTACAATAAGAGATAATGGATGAAGAAAAATTTATTGGTCGGTAAAACATTCAAGAATATGTACTGAGATTTGTTTTCGACTTTTTTTTCTTTCATAGTTTTATCGGAAGTACGATTTGTTGAATACAAATGAGAAGACAAATAGTTTAGTGAATGATTAGAAAAAAAGACATATTGAAAATATACTCGATATAAAAAGCAGATAATTTTCATGATAGGTGTGTCTATAGACACGATTAAGTTATGAAAAGATTTTAATTCTTTCATCATACTTTAGGCATAATTATAAGGTAAGATATTATTGAATATCAAGTTTACTTTAAAAAATCTCTATGAATTCTACATCATGAAGTGAAGAATAATTTGAACAAAAATATATTGAATACTGTATGTAGCAAGCATATCTGCCGTGTGATCCAATATAGATAAATGAAATAAAACAGTGTGTATTTGATTAAGAAGTTAAACAACATAACTGATACGTGTTTTATTTTTATAAAATCATCTTAATATATTTTAGGCAAATTACACCTATTAATAAATATCTAGCTCCAAATCTACATCGTCTAAACATAAAATGGTCAAATTCATTGATTAATCTGGAAACAATTAATGAATTATTTACACGTGATGTTTTATATTCATTGACAAACTTCACATTATTAGCCAATATAGTTGATTCTGTTGTTATTCGTAATTTAGTATTGATGCTTTCCAATCAATGTTTATATTCGTTTGATGTTAAATGGACTGAGAGAATTAAGGTATCAGCACCGAATACAAACGAAATCTTATCGACTATATTTCAAAACATGAGAGGATCAGCACCAATTGAATTAGAACTATCGTTGAAAACGTATGTGTATTATGTTAGAGCGGTAACAATACCAAGAATGGATAAATCTTTATGTCTTGATTGTTATCTAAGTAAAAATATTGTGCATGGGTAGGAATGGATAGTTACTTTTTTTTTAATAACAAACATTTTCTTTGAATTTAGACAAAGTCGGTTGCCATATAATAGATGTATCTTCAACACTCAATTACTCCATTGCAATGAAGTCGTTATCAGTAATGATTATCAAATCAACGATGAATTTCTCTCTTTATCATCACCTATCGTTCCTTGGCATCAACTTACATCGCTTAGTATTCCTTATTCAGTCGATTCAACCCATCTTCGGTTGCTCTTTTCGCTAGCGACTAATCTACGTACTTTAAGACTAAATTACAGTCCAGAATTTCAGAATAGATTTGATTCGACAAGCGAAAACTTGATTCATCTCTTAAACGATGATTTTTTGTGTAATATGCTCATGTCAAATGGCTTACGACAACTTGATCTTGCGCTTTCTATATATGAGCCAAATTCGATGAAAATTCCTAAATTAATTGTCAAACGACTACCTAATTTACAAATCATAAAACTAGATGGTGATACGTATGAATTGGTTAAAATGTCACATATATTGATCTGTGGTCTTGAGAAATTAAATTTTCTCACTCTTAAGGGTGATATTAAAGCTGGTGAAGTTTTAGAAAAACTTTTGCATGATCTCAAAAATTTAAATACTCGTTGTTTTCGAACAGAAGCTCCTAAGACGATAGATAAAAATATACTTTTCGTATGGCTATAATAAAATGAAACTGCCGGTATTTCTTTGCTTTTTTTTTCTATTAAACTTTCTGTTTATTTTGCTAAAAGAATTGTAAAAATTTATACATTCAAATAAAATAAATCTATGAATTTTCTTTTTATTTCATCAAATAAAAAGATCTTTCGTTTTTGATATTCTGCTAGAAATAATTTTTTTTCTTTTATTTAGATATTTTATAATTTACCGAAAAATCAAATGACTTCATTTTTTACTACTCAATTATGTAATTGTTCAAGCTTCCGAGTTTAAAGTGGATATCATCAATTAATAACTTTACAGACTTGATTTAGTATTCAATTATAGATAAATTTTTTTTTAATAATAAATTAAATTTCTAATCAATTGACATTGTTACTCAATCTAATATAATAAATTTATTAATTATCTTTTTACAATTAAAGACAAAAATGAATGATAATAAGAGAACTTAGATAGTTATCTAGTATCAAAATTAGGGATGCACCGGTGACGGTTCACCGTTTCACCGCACCAGCGGTGCCACCGCCCACCGGTGCACCGGTGGGATCGGTGCACCGGTCACTTTTTTGTATTTCGGTGTCTCTCCTACACGATAAATTTTAGAAACTCGAGCACTTAATTTTCTGATAAGAAGTAATCCCTCGTCCTAATTAATTTCGGGAAATACTGATCAGAACTCTGGAGTAAAGCAGACACTGAAGCCGATAAGGTTATATAAAGTCATAATGGATACCGGCGTATTAGTGTGGGTGTGNTTGCCAGAACCAGGTTTTTGACCTTGCGAACCCTATAAATCCGGATGGAAGCATCAGAAATTAAAACGGTCAAAACTACCTCTGGAGAATACTTCAAAGTATCTATGATAGAAATTTCAGCCCGATCGGACAAAGTTAGAGGGGGGTACCCTTAAGGCGCTTCCACATGACTCTTGGTAAAGTTGGATTCGTAACACTAGTTTGTACTGCGTTTTATCTGTCAAAATAGTCTACAATTATTGCAGCAATATGGTATTGGTGTAATGAAGATGATTAGTTTTCCTTCTTTACCAATTTGAAGGCAGACCAACCTGGTGTTCATACAGTTCGACAGAACTTTCCAACGGCTTCAAAATTGTATAGAAATATCAGGGAAAAACACGTCCCCATATGACATCGCATGAAGTACAGAGTCCGGCTATACTCTTATTTTGAGTAGTGTTCAAATGGTTTACTAAAACCGTGTACCGACACCATCAAATATTAGTATACATTGAGCTAGCTTTTATATGAGTTGTTAGAAATCTTTGAACGCTTGAAAACAGTATAAAAGCATTGGCGATGAAAAGAAGTCTCAAGGAGACTATTCTCAAGACTTAGTTTTATAATTTTTATTTGTCGAACATTAAGTGAACTTCGATTAGAAAAATACAGTCCAGATAAAAACTAATACAATATTCTGAATCAGTATATAAAATTGAGTGGCCCTTGACTGTATTTAAAAAGTTCTTGATGTTATCTTTTCTTTTCATCCAAAGATTTACCCTTGGTGACACCCTTAAGAGTTGGATCCAAAATAGAGTTTCATCAAAGAGTTATTTTCATAGTAGAAATCAAGTTCTATGGTGATAAAACGATATTAGAACTTACAATAGACGATGTATAACTAACAAAACAAAAACTTCAATGAAATTCATATGTTGACTCAACCTTGTGGGGACAAAAATTGAATTTTTTCGACAAGTAAATGACTGTAAAAATTAAATATACGTAAGTTTATTCAGTTTTGAATGCTGGTCATACATCATATTGGCTTCTATCCAAAATCATATCTTCTAATCGAGGTCTGCTAAATATTAGGCAGAGAAACCTAAAATTAAAAAAAACGTATATTTCGGGTAGTCTCTCTAGAGTTACTAACTCGCTTATACGGTAAATATAATTGTATGCAAATAATAATAGAACTTTTCTATATTAAAATAAACAATTAGAATAACATTTTCATTGAACACGATAACGAGTTGAGCATGACTGTTGACTGCATGATATTTCGGAAAGTGATTTATGCTCTTTTCTTTATCAATGAAATTAAAATATTTTCGTGCATTTCATAGAATATAAATCATTTGAAGAGAATGCAAAAGAATTTTGGTTGTTGTTTGCAGTACAGAAGACTACATGTTTTCTCTAAATTTTCTAAAGTTCACCGCATATACTGAATTAATATTCGTTTTCTAGTCTATTTATTTGACGTTGTCTTTAAATACGATGCTTATCTTCTTAATCTTATCTTGAAGGTAATATGCTCGAACATTATTCCTTTTAAATTTTGTTATATTGACAATAAAAAATATTGATGAAATAACGTTACCTTCATTGTTGCTAGACAACAATAAAAAAAAACCCATGCGTCATTTTCAATGGAAAGTATTTCAATATGTTGACTACTAGAACGAACTTCAATGAAAGATAAGCTTTCAGCACACTATGAATTAGTTAGTACATTTTTCTATCGGTATAATTAGAAGTCGAAAAACTTTTTGTCCCATTTTGGTCATACTGTTCATATTTTTTTTGATTTAGGAATTATATTTTTATTATAGTTTAATGGATGAAACTTTTAGGAACCGTCGATGATGTAGATTCGATTCATCAATTATCATGCAGTGTGAATGCAAAAGCTCGCTGCACCAATAAGACGGACACAGACCGAATCTGATTTCCAGCAGAGTGCCACAAGAAGGCAAGAACCGACACCGAGTAATCATCATCGAAATGGACACCACAGTTGTATCCGAAGTCGACACTATAGTTATAAATGCGACGAGGCCTTTTAGTTCACTGTATACTAGAAATAAAAGCTAAGATAAACGATACAAGTACAACTCAAACTAACAAGGCGCTGGTGATTGGAATCAACTATTTATTTAAGACTCAGGCCAAGACCGATAGATCAACTGAAACCTTAATCATTTCTGGAACTTTTAATCAAAGCCCAATGCTTCAATATGGAAAGCGAGCAAAGATCAGATGCACTCGGAATTCTCGAGCCAACATAAGACTCAAATTGCTAAGAAGGGCAGATCATAGTCGGAATGTTGTTGTCTGCAATCAAGATGCGTCCTATGACAGAAGTTGAGTGTGACAGAATCGTATGTTCTGTTATGATTCTTACACGCAGTTGTATGGATATTAGATATAATTCTGAAGTCCAAGCTGCATCCAATTTTATTATTATAATTTCAGAAATTTTAATGTTTATTATCATAAGACAGATAAATAATCTTAAAACAATTAGACTTAGGCGTTCCTACAATATGTTGCTAATCCACTCTCAATGGTTAGTACTCAATTAATATTAATAAACAACAAGTCTTTAATCTTATATATATAAGTTTTCATGCTGCTGTCTGAACCTTTCCCTTTTGGCTTGATTGACTCGTCGTATTCTTTCTAAGATCAAATATAGTGAGTGTCTATGCTCCAAAGAGATGTATATACATATGTACAAGAATGATGGATCATAAGTCGTACTATATTCTGTTTCAAAGCATTAGTACTGCATTTTACTCCTTCATCATCAAATATCATTAGCATAGAGAGTTACTCTATTGAGTGTCTACAGAGAAAGAAACGACAATATTACTAAAGAATAAACAATGATGAAAAGCATCAGCTAAATATCTTTCGCTTCTGTCCAATAAATCATATTCTGTTGAACTTAATCAATCGTGTTCCAACAAAGAGGATGTTTCAGAAAGTCGGTATACCTTTAAGTAAATGTAAACATATTAATTTTTAAACTTCAGATTCATGATAATTTTCTATACACATACTCGATGACACAATTCATAAGTTCACTTTATCGATGAATGAAAAATTTTATTATTTATTGTCTTATCTATAAGGTAATACATTTAAAGTATCTACACTACGTAGTACAGGAAACAAGACTAATTATATACCGTACTGCAATAAATATATTCCTTTAAAATAAAAAACAAACTATTGAACGCATTGCTCCAAATATAAAACTCATGATATTGATTTTTTTTTAAATTTCTTCCATCATTTTTCTGAGTTTTATATAATCGAATATATTTTTTTGAATCATTAAGCATGGGAATCTAATAAGCTAGAATTATATGAAACAAAAATAGTTTGAAAAAGCTTTTCCGTGTCAGTAAATACTGCACAATCACTGTTCGGAGACAGAAATTATTAGTTTATGATATTTCCTATTAAATCAAATATTCCTATGTACTTCCTCGGATGTCATATCAATGGTAAGACGGAATTTTGACAAAAAAAATTTTGCCATATGTTGAAATTCTTACA